CATGGAAATACAATTTGTAAGTACGCTCTCTATAGTGCCTCTATAGAAAGTAAGGAGAATGGGGGATGGAAGATGTACTTTCCTCATCCGACGCAGAAAATGCAATCATTGCTGTGCTTGTTTTACCAGGAATTTGGTGTTAAGGGACCAGGTCAGACTGTTCGTTAGCTGCACCCCTAGAAATCTAACACTGCTAACTGACTCCACAGCTATGTTATTTATGAAAAGTGGAGTGTGACTACACTGGTTCTTCCTAAAATTTATAATAATCTCCTTAGCTTTTTCTACATTTAGAACCAGGCTGTTTTTATAACACCACTCCATTAAGCCCTTCACCTCCTTTCGATAAACCCACTCATTGTCATCCCTGATAAGACCCACCACTGTTGAATCATCCATATATTTCACAACGGAATTGGTGGTAAACCTAGCACAACAGTCATGGGTCATCAGGGTAAACAACAATGGGCTCAAAACACAGCCCTATGGGCAGCCAATGCTCAGAGAGATAGAGCTAGAGATATTATTTCCCACTCACACCGCCTGAGACCTCTCAGTAAGGAAGTCAAGTAACCAATTACACACAGGAGTACTGAAGCCAAAAGAACTCAATTTGTCAACCAAATGCTGGGGAACAATTGTACGGAATGCTGAGCTGAAGTCTACAAACAGCAATTGCACATAACTGTTCTTCTTCTCAAGATGTACCAGACTCATGTGAAGAACAGAGCGGATTGCATAGAAAACCTTATGCAGCCAATTTTTCCAAACGTTAGAGGACACCCTTATTTAGTTGCAATTGTTGTGAATGTTCCATCTCAAATGACCGAAAACAGACCTCTGGGCAATCTTCAGATCTGGGCATTCTTCAGATATCAGGATCAGCTCCAGAACTTTCTAGCCATCATACCCACTGCTGAGAATTTGAGAAATTCAAGCCCACATATTTTTGGAGAACACCTAGGTTGGAGAAGGCTGGCCAAGTACATACGCAATCACCCAGTGGTTTCAAGGGATCGTTTTCACTAGCGTGTGTTTCCAAACATGCCTACCATGGTTTACTCACTTAACCCAATTTTCTGGGTTCACATAAACACTGGACCATAAATTGATCACTCGAGCTATGTTTGCACAACATGCTAGCCTAAAAGGTGGTTGGCTAGTTCTTGTTTCTGTGTGTCATGTGCACACAGCCTCTTGGATCTTCTGTTTGAAACAATTGCTTGTTAATCTCAATGTATATAGGGCCCCTCCCATGTTCATTTTTCCTGGATTCTGATTAGCAATTTCTTAACAGTATAAGAAATAATCCAGTGATTCTATTATAAGGTAAGAAAAAGGTTTAGAGTTGTTGGTCTCTTTCAAGCTTATGAAAACTTGGTTTTTCAGAAACTGGAAAGGTCAGTTTCAAGGACTTCTTAATCAATGTGACAGCCAGTGAACGCTTCTCCGAAAGCTCACGTAAGTGGAAGCCACTATGGGTTCTACAAGTAATTAGTGAAAAGGGTCAGAAACACACACATAGTCAAATGCAGGCAAGTGAAGGATAAAAGGACCTGTCAAAGATCACAGAGGGTCCCCAAGGGAGGAGATACGCATGGTCATAAGTAGACAGATGGGGAGGATCCCAAAGGAGTAGTTAGTTGAGCCAACATATAGGAGTATGTATGTACAGCAACTATTCCTCTGTCAAAACAAAAACCCAGTTATGTTGGTGGGGGGCGGAGATTAAAAATCCAGAAGCACTACCTTTGAGACAACTAAAGTTTTATAATAATTACAAGCTTTAAGTGTTCTTAGAAGCCTTCGTCAGACATGTTGGTTGAAAGCCAGGAAGCCAAAAAGGTAGGAGGGAAAGAAATAGCTGGCTTTAGAGGCAAATCTACCAGTTCACTTTCTTAGATGGAGTGAGAGTCTCCCATCATAGAACTGGCTCATGTCCAATAAAGAGTGGTATTAGATTGTGCTAGGGATGTTTTCAAAGCTTGTTGGGAAGAAGAAAGAAGAAATAATGTTATGTTCTCATTTTCTGAAAATCTAAATTCCACTGCTAAAATCAAAATTGTTTCCACCTTGTGTGAGAAAAATAGATTCCTTCTTTCTGAAAAGCAGCAGAAGATTGACCTATGTGGGCAACCTTCATGTTTACAAAGCTGGAGATAATTTAAATTGTCTACCAAGCCAATTAAAGTTGAGTTGGGTAGATTGTTTGGTGATAGGAGGGAATTCAGTCTCAAACAGCAGTCTTGGCAAATATTATGCAACCATCCTGTGTGGAATCTTGTTGTTGAACAGTTAAATATAGTAATATTATTGAGCTGCAGTATAGAGTAAAACTCAATTGGCTTTTCAGATCTCATTGACAATCTGTAGTATATCTTTCCAAGCCAGCCATCTTACAGATGGTGCTGCCAAGCAGAGAAAGGCAGACTAAGCAGTTTGAGGGCCATCCTAGTGGGATGGAGAGTAAAGTACCTGCTAGCAGCAGTGCATTGATGCACAAATCAGATGAGAAGCAGACACAGCTTTTACCTGTTTGTGAAATTAAGTAAACAACTTCTCTGTTTCCAACAGTTTATGACATCTATGGCATTCTCTGCAGAATGGATACAGATAAAGTTGAGGTTTCTCAGCTGAAAGATGTGCTGGCTACGATTGGCATCACATTAACCAAGGAGCAAATGAAGGAGGCACTGAAGAACATGACAGTAGATAGTAAGAAGCTATTCTATACAGCTGATTGAGGCCTACATATTTGAATTTCTCTGATAAAATATTTAGAAACATTCTCCTTGAATTTCTATGAACACAGAAGTTTTAAAGCAATAAAGTAATGGACATTTTTCTCCCAACATACTCTCAAACCTCCTGAACATGACACTCCAGAAAATATGGGATATTTGATATATTTTTTTGCATATTTAAATTAACTCTTAGGAACCAAATCATGTGTTAGCAAATGTTCAGTTCCTGCTAAGTAAGTTTTCCATGTCTGTACTTTTATGTCACCTGTTTTAGAGTACAGACTACTTCTAGTGCTCAGACGTAATACAAAGCAAGCATGTTTTCCCTGAGTAATTATGTTCAAAATATAAACCAAACTCCATTCCTCCCTGCAGTAGCTGTGTAATACCAGGGACCTAAGGAAATTTAGTTTTCTAGGTCACCAGTACACTCCTACCACACCTGCCAGGAGGATCAAAATTCAGCTGAATCAAAGAGGACACAAAGCTGTTCAGTGAGTTATGGGTTGGGTTATTTATGATGGGAAGCAAGCATCTAAAATAAGACCTTGCTTCAGTGATGGTTAAGTGTCAGTTGAGTAACTATACTGTTATCTCTACTGTCCCATCTTATCTGATCAGTGTTTCTCAAACTTGGCAGCTTGAAGATGTGTGGGAATTGAAGTCCATACAAGTTGTCAAGGTTGAGAAACACCAATCTAGAGCGAAGAGTTCAATACTTTCTCACTAGCAGTATTCACAGACAGCCTTGTGGTTCAATGTGAACAGAATTTGGGGTTTGTAATTGAGCCAAAGTCTTAATGAAGCTAGGCTGAGGTCTATGAACGGCCTTTGGGCCATAGCTTTTCCATTCAACCCTATTTGTATTTATAGGGTTGTATATAGCCTTAACATTTTTGCTAGTCAATGACTGAAATAAAACTGATTGTAAGTATAAATGTCTATGCGTTATGTTTCATTTCTCTTTTCCCTGATAAGATTTGCTTTCCCTTACAGGTGATGGGAAGGTGAATTTGAAAGAATTTATGAAGATGTTATCTTGCACACAGCGATACACTACACTTGTAGGCAAGAACAACCCTTTTCATCAATATTACACGCTTCATTGTAGATTGTTGCTTTTGGATGCCTCACTGTGGCACTTTTGTCTTAGACATGGAAGAAGCAGTGAAAACACTGAAGAGCATCAAACAGGACAAAATAACATTTGAACAGCTGGATTCCATCATGCGTGCTACGGGCCTTCAGTTATCTCAAGATGAAATCCAGAAAGCACGGAAATATGTTACCACAAATGGTATGACTTTTCCAGAAAAACTGGTCTTCAGCCTTGTTTAGCTTTTTCACTCAGCCAAATTTGGCTAAGTGCCACCACTTTCTGTGACATGATAAGTAAAGGGGAAGAAAAATATTCAGATGATTTCTTCTAGCAATGAACTGATTATCTATTTTGCAACAGATTTAAACTATTAAACTATTTATTAATTGATACACAGCGTTACTGTGTTGCCTATTTTCTTCTACTTTCATTAATTTGTTTATTTCTTTGCAGCTGATGGGACATTTAGTGTGAAAGATTTTATGTTTGGATTGACCAAGGCTCTGGGCTTTCCTGAAGCTGAAAGTAAGTTTAAACCAAGCTGTGGGTCATCCCACTTCATATGGTTAGAATTTTAGCTCTTGTTGTCTATCGATACACATTTTCCCAAATTTCATCTAAGCTTCCATCTGCGAAGTCAAACTTTTGCTACTCTATATACTCTATACAAGTTCTCATCTGCGCTTAGACCATAAATGATCTACAGAGGGTCTCTTGAAAAAGATTGCAAAGATTCTTCTTAGTGTCCCCTTTGCACTTTAAATAAATCCTTCCTGTATTGGTTTGCAAATTCTGATTTAAAATTAATAACATTTTCAGTTATGGATGCAGGCAGGTTTTAAGTTAAATATGGGGGAATTACTCACACTGAGGGTGACAGGATAACCCCTCCCATCCTGCTAAAACATGGGAGTGAAACTGATACCATATGAACAGTGTGACCCCCTCTTTGGTTGTGACCCCCCCTCTGCCAAAACCACCTCCATCACAAGCAAGTTGCCTTCATGAGATAACTTACTTTCATACTTGAAGGCTTTTATGGCTTTAGTACTAAAC